CTAGAAAAGAAAAACCCAAAACTTGAAAAAAAATCCTCTTGCAATATCTCAGTCGAGCATCTTAGCCCTCAAAAGTAACATCAAAAATAACAAGAAGATTGTATTTGGTATATGAGGCAACATTGTGATATCACCAATCATGACTTTTTTAAAAAAGGCTGTTATTACTAAAAATATTACTGAAAAGTGACATGTTACAAGTAACATAATTATCTGTGATGCATTACTTCCAAGGTCCATGTCTACTTCTCACTAATGCTGTAAGAGACATATACTATGTTCTATGATACAACATTAAACATTAAGTCTTACATGTTCACTTAAAGCCGATGCAGATGGCCCCTAAGGGGTGGCTCTATGCCACCCCTGGAAGTGCTAGATTGGGGCTGTGGCAACCACATGCTGCAGCCATGATCCGGCTTTTTGCCACTCCAAAAAGAGCTGGCAAATGCTGCTCCTTTTTGGGTGGCAAAAAGCCGCCCTTAGTGCCGTCACCACGGCTCTTTTGTGCCCCTTTGGCACAGCGTATCTGCACGTTGTGCCAATGGGGAGCCCTAACACCATGCTCTATGCGGTCAGGCACACAGTGCGACAGTGGCGTCAAGATGGAGTTGGGACAGCCAGTGTGTGGTCGGCCTGCTCCAACTCCACCCCCAGGCCAGCCCTTTTGGCCAACCTGCACTGGCCCTTAGTCATGTTTCTCTCTCCTTTTTCCCCATAAACATTCTCTGTTAAAATTTAATGCTTCTCTGTAGGCTGCTGTTAGGGTTGAGCTGGAACTGAGGATCTGAAATATACACCAGAGTTGCAAAGATCTTACAGCTCATTCTGCCCATTTGACCTGAATGACCAGCTTTGGTCAGAAAGGCCATTTGAAAGCCTACTGCTCCAAGTTGCAGTTCTGATAGTTCATTCTGTGTGGCAGCTACTCACAGGACTGCAATCTCCTAGTTCTAGCCTGGCTGACCCTTCTGCACAGGAATATGTGTGGTGGTCAAATTTTTAACATTGCCCCTCACAATAGGCAACCTTCTAACTAAGCTTTCTCCCAGCCTGGTGTTCTCCAGATCTTTTACACTGTAATTCCCAGCATTCTTGACCACCGACTATGTTAGCTGGTGCTGATGAGAGTTGCATTCCAAAACATTTGGTGCTCTGATCTGGTTGGGAAAATGTAGTCTAACCCATGTAAGAGCATATATCACTTTTGTGCACTGCACTTTGGGAACTACACAAAGGATGGTATTAATTATTGGCCAGGGCATTAGGCCCAGCTGCTTAACTGCATTTGATTTAGCTGGCCAAAGGTTTTCCAGGCCTGCCTTAATATAAATTTAAACTGGGTTCTAGATGCATCTTCTAAGTAAAACTTAAGTATAATATAATCTTTATTTTAAAAATATGTTTTGAGCACTGGTAGGAACACAGAGTCCTCTAGATGTTGTGAGATTGTCACAATCCATTCCTAATCCTTGATTATACTACTTGGGATTGATGAGATTTATAGTTCAGGAGCAATTTTGGAATTGTAAGTTTCCCAACCCTGTTTCACAAAGTTATTTGCAGGAATTTTCTACTTTAAAGGGGTTTTAATTTTTAAAAAAGTTTTACTTATACATTGATATCGCTACCCAAATGTGACACTATTACATTAACCATATTCATTAATGTTTCTCTGAGGACATTTATAAAACAATGCATATATAGCAGCTGATTCAGTAGGTTTGTTAGGTAGACACAGTCATTCCATATCTGCAACCCTCAGGAGACAGGGAAAGGACATGGGTGGTTTGTGGTCCAAGCAGGAGGTGCGCCTCCTATTCCCATCTGAGGATGAAATGCACTCCCCTTGCTTGAAGCACAAAACGAGATTGGGAAAATGGAGTGAGGCCAGAAACCTGTTCAATCTCTTAGTATTTTTTTTAAAGTCTATTTTCTGCCTGTGTGTTAAATCAAGAATCAAAATGGACTACCTGCCATGGGGAGACAATGTAGAATTATCTTTAATGTTACAATATTTAAGTATTTCTAATTTTTTAATACTGATGAAATTATTAATTTTGATCCAGATTTTAAGCAACCCATGAAGACAAACAGAAACAGATTTGTAGCTGAATTCATTCATTGATTTGGGTCCAATCCAGACAGAGCTAAATCTTAAATTGAGACACTTAAACACATGACCCACTCTATTCCATTAAATAACAATGAAATTTCTTTAAAAATGGCAAAATTCTGATTGAATGATTTTTTTTATGTTTCTTTGTCCAGAGTAGATGCTGTTTTCATGTACTGGCAAACTAAAGTGACAGGGCTGCTAAATGGGCCTTAGATGTATGCTTACATACTTCAGAACTGACAAAAGTTTAGCTGGCTTGTAATAAGTTCACCCCATCCTTCTCTTGCATTTCGCCTGCTGTTACAGTGACTGCATCCCGGTTTTGTCTGAGGGGAATGGAAGAGATACTTGCTGAAACCTCTGTGGTCTTGATGGAAGAGTTAAGCTGCTGCCTTGAATTTGCATGGGACAAATCAGAATCTCAGTGGGCATGTGCAAAATCTGCAGGGTCTTATATTTAAATGGAAAGCTGTTTCTATTGCTGCTGTCTATTTCTGAGCTTAGACACAGAGAGAAGGATGCTGAGGCTTTATGGAGGGGGGGAAATCCCCATTGGATTATGCACGGATTCAGAAAAGAGAGAGACAGTCTTTTTGAGAAGTTTAAAAAGGAAGAAACTGTGCTGATTAAAAAGGTTCACTGAAAGGGGATTTTGGTTTTGGTTTGGTAGCATTGTAACAGTGGGGATAATTCTTTTGCGTTTACCCATATGAATACACAGTCTTTCCGAAGAGGCATCTCTTGCCTGTCCACAGACTTCAATTGCAGCCAAATCCTAGATGCCCTGAATGATTCAGAAGTGAATGCCTACAGGCTGGTGGACATGGCTCCATTGGCCCCAACCGTAAGTATGGCACAGAAATTGCTTGTAAGTGATTTTTAAGCCTTTAACAAATATTTGTAACTGCTAACATATCACAAAATTTAATGGAGCTGTACAGAAACTGTTGGGTCTAGTGATGGTGCATGTAACTTTTATCTTTGTAAAGCTAGCAATTCACAAAGAAAGGAAATTTGGAGATTGTGTGTGTAATTTGTTTAAAGACAAGTAAAGAAACTGTAAATATCACTTTAGTGAGGATGTGTGGGACCTGTCTGGGTTAAAGCTGGTAATGATTTCACAGCAACTGTCTGGGGGAAAATACATAGGCATTTTACATCTCATAAAGAGGAAAAAATGTCTAGCATATGGTGAGAGTCACATGAACACAACAGAAAAAACAGACCGCAAAATGCTTTCCTTGTTATGAATCTGTGGTGGATTCCATTAAGAACATGTGTGACTGATTAGCTTGTAGTCATAGATATACATCAGTTTGAATCTGTGTTAGAATTGCTTTTTGGTGCAACTATAGAAAAAATTGTGGTGCTTTTATTCACTTGTTGAGTGAGCTTCCTCAAAGGCCTTTTATAATTGAAAGAAATTCAAGTATAATATGATGCAGTGGTTTGAGTGTTGGATTAGGACTCTGGAAGATCTTGGTTCAAATTTCTGCTCAGCCTTGGAAAACCATGGGATAACCTTGGCCAAGTCACACTCTCTCAGTCTAAGAAGAAGGCTATGGCAAATCTCCTCTGAAAAAAATCTTGACAAGAAAACTCTGTGCTAGAGTTATCATAAGTCAGAATTGACTTGAAGGCACATAATAATGGCAAAAGTAGAAGAAATGGAAAGTCAACACTTGCACAAATTCTGAGTCACAGCTATGTGATCCTCTTACCCATATGAAAAGCAAAACAACAGTTTGGTGGTACATCGAAACTATGG